CCAAACTTTCATAATGTTTACAATACCTAAATGTAGTTAGATTTTGGTTTGGCAATCCATCTTCATTCAATTAATGCATCTTTTTTAGACCTAATTTGGAGTCTGCCTATCCATCCTCATTCAATTTATGTTGCCTTAAAGCTAACCCTTCAAAGTAAGATTTAAGTTTACCTATGGTGACCACTAACTGTGTAGTGGAATAGTAAGTATTCCGTCATCCTTAATCAGAATTTCGGGTTTGAGTCCTAGAAATTAAGTCGCCTTTAATATACAACATTTAACCCTTAAAAGTGGAACTTTCTGGTGTAAAGCTGAAATAGTCGGGCCCTAAAAAAAATACCACACTCAAAGTACTAAAAATGGAGTCGCCTTTAGTAGTCAATAAGTTTTAAGTTAGTTGCTACTACATAAAAACTTCCTTTATAGCAAGAAGATTCAACAATTGTTATATATATCCTATTTACGCAGTATAATTTCTCAGCAAGAAATTCAGTTATCCTCTTTTCAATCTATGTAGCTCCGCCCCTAAACTTTAGGTAAAAGTTGTAGTTTCACTCCACATAACTTATTTGTAGGACTCAAATTTGATCAAGTTAGGTGTAGGATTGAAATTTGACCAATTCCTTCCCTTAATTTCCCTTGCCTTCCCTATTCACAAATCATCATTTCTCACAAAACTTACTTAAAAAGAAGAAAAATAAAGATAAAAATCTCCAAGTGAAGATTTCTTTTTTATAATTGGAAGGTCCACTATCACCCCACCCCTTGAATTTTAAAAATTAAAAATTAAAAAATTAAAAATAATAATAAAACAAGAGTACAATCCACCGTCATTATCTACCCACGCGGTTTTGAAAATTAAAACACGGGAAAAGGTTTCAAAAGATGGTGAAAAAGAAAGATAAATTAGATAGCAAAATGAATAAACAAAAGACAACATAATAGAATAGTGAGTACAAAAATAAACGTTACCAGCAAATGTGCTAAGATGAATAAGATTCTTTCGTTTTTAATTAGAAATTTCAAATTCAAACTCTAAAAAATAAAAATCTTGATAGCAATCGTTTCTTTTATTGTTAGGTATTATATAACTAAATTTGGATTAGTCGGACCAGTAAATTTTAAATATTCGATACAAAAAATATACTATACAAATAAAGATAGCCCTCATATTGTATAGAGGATCACGAGAAGGACATAGGCAAGTGGGTAGGAAATTGTTAGGAATGATGTTAGGTTGGGTGGATTTACATCTTTCCTAGAAAGTAATATTTAAATATGGAAATAAATATTTCTTAGCAAAGAAGACTTTACAATAGTCCCGTTTTGTTCCCACCTTATTAAAGGTCTTCTACTAATAAATAATAATAAATATTCTCCCTTTTAATTACCAATAAAAAATAGAGTAGTTTATGAATAAAAGAAATGTAGAAAGTTGAAACATTGTTTGTGGCAAGTCAGGACAGCGAAACGTTTTCTTGTGCGTGTGTTTTTAGCTTTGTATTATTATTTTTATATATTAGGTATTTAAAATTCATTGATTCAACCAATTCAAACCATTAATAGAGGGTAAATCGCTTTTTTTTCTTTAAAAGTTCTTTATTTTTCAAGGCTCAAAATCGTAAACTCCGCTTAAATATAAAAGGATTTCAACCATTCCATCACACTCGTCAATAATACTTTTATTGTTCTTTTGTAGGAAGCTCTTAATAACTTTGTACTATCAATTGAAGGTGGAATACGTGCAAGGAGCAAAGAGGCTTTGGCCATACCCAGGAATATAATGGTAACTTAATGCTGAATATAAATTGAATATCGGAAAAATTAATTCCCTTTTATTTTGTATAACACCTTTTTTTTAAATAATATTCGTTCCAAAAAATTGATACACTTCTACACAATTTCCCGAATTGTTGTGTTGTATAATATAGTTTGTTTAAATTACGTGTCAAGTCAAACATAAAACAAGCCTCTGGGTAATATGACGAGCAGTACGAGGATTACTCGGAGGAATACGTGTAATAATCTCCAGGGTAACTCCCGCCTCGAGGCAGGAATCTTTTTAAATTTGACCTTGAAGGTTAAGTTAATATACTAAAGGGATTTTTACCTATATGTACTACAATAAAAATTTATTTACGCTTACTATTTAGGTTTTAACTTAATTACAAGTTGATATACAATTTACCAATTATATACAAATTAGTATTAATGAGTATCCCATTATATTAGGAATTAAATAGGAAATTCCCTCTTTTCTCTCTCTCTCTCTCTCTCTCTCTCTCTCTCTCTCTATATATATATATATATATATATATATATATCAGTATTCTTATATTAATATCTTCATGTGGATTAACTGAAGAAATGATATTAATGTTAAGTGAAAAAGAAGAAGAGAAGATTAGTATCTAGTAAAGTTCTTGCCTCAGGATCCTATGAAAACGAGGAAGTAAATAAGAAATAAATCAACTCTGATGAAGAGAATCATTTTAGTTATCATTCTTTTAGCTTTTGGAATCAATAAACAAAATAGTATTAATTAGAAGCGAGTAGATTGAATTGGAAACTACGTTAATCCGTTAAAAACTTCATTGACAGCCGTTAAAAGCTTCAAAGCTTTAGATTCGAAAATGGAATTTTATGAAATTATTTTTTGTTTGGATTAGATGTTGCTGCAAATGATTAGGAATATTCGTTGGAGTTTATATCTCGAATTTGAGACGATTTGGTGAAGATTCGAGTTGGTTTTAGTTGAAATTTCAGATTGAAACTCGCAAAAAAGACATGAACAAATTGTATATATTTTGTATGTCGAATGTAGAAACGGTAAGTTGTATATAAATTGTATGTAAATTATAGTTTTTGACCGAATTCCGCACAAAAAATATGTATTTATGTTGTAGACAAATTGTAAATTTTGACCAGAATTGTATATATTTTGTAAAAAACTTCTGTTACTTCCTGTAAATATAAAAACTTAGACAAAACCGGATAAATAAATTTATAATCTTGTATATATACAAAAAAGTCCCTTAAAGGCTCAAAAGCTCGAACATCCTAAAATCTCTTACTACCTAAAACTCTATCAAGAATCCTCTACTTGAAAGCTGGTGCTGATCTAGAGGGTGTTTGAATTGGCTTATTTTAAGTGTTTATTGGGTTTTAAGCACTTTTTTAGTTTGTGTGTTGTTTGGCAATAATACAAAAGTGCTTAAAAGCACTTACTTTTAGGCATAAAAAGTACAAAAATAAGCCAAAAGTTGGGTATTAACAACTTATGACTTTTGGCTTTTAGCTTAAAAGCTACTTTTTATAAGCCAATCCAAACACCCTCCTAATTTTATCTTCGCGTGAGCAAGAAAAAAATTTCTTAGCTTTCGTTTGGCCATAGATTCCAATGCTTTTCTTCAAAAAAAAATGAAAAATATTATTTGTTCGTGAAATATGATCAAAATTTTTACAAAAATATACAAGTTCCCAAAAACTAGTTTATGATATCTAGTGGATAATTTTTTTTTCCACTCACAACTTCAACTCTTAAAAATTATTTTTGAACTCAACATCAAAAACTCCTTCAAAAAAATTTCAACCAAATCAATGTTCAAAAGCTAGCTTAGTCTTCTGATTTTTCAATGATATCTATAAGAAAAGATAATAAATAAAGAGTAAAAAAGATAACAAGAAAGGAAAATAGTTGATCACTGCTCATCCAATGTACTGCCATCGGTTTAGCTAATCAACTCTAACAACCCATGTAACCATACATGCTAAAGGTATTACAGGAAACTGACAAGCTAAACAATAAATAGGAAAAGGAAATGATCCTATAAATTCAAAATGCAGTGAAGTAACAACAAAAGGTGTTTACATGTACGTAACCTTATTGATTCACTAGAAGTACATTGGTGGTTGAGTTGAAGCAATGCCTCCATAACCACCATCATAAATACCCTGACCAGGAGCGCCGATTCGCTGACCCTGGGGTTGCATAAAAGCCTGAGCACCAGCCATCTTAGCTAAAGCAAGCTGCCTCTGGTACGCTGCAAGATCCATTGCTGAAAGACCGGGGATTTGTCCTATAGCCGGAGGTGGTAGAGGGTTGGAACTGCTTCCTGGTGGAGTTGGCTTGCTTCCCCACGAGCACTGCAGCCGGAAACAGAAAAGTAGCCATTAAATACTTAAGCGGTTACATTAGATTTAAACTTCAGCAATATTGGGTTCTGAAAATTCCTAAATAAGCGCAAATTATGATAAAACATATGATTGTTTCCTTCAGGAGTCGAGAAAGTTTGGCGACCCCGTGCAAAAAATAAAGAGCAGTGGAATATGGGCATGTAAAGTGAAAGATAAGTCCTTTTCTGACATTTAGATCTCCTTTGATAGAAGGGGAGCATTAGCGTAACTGGTAAAGTTGTTGCCATGTGACCTAGGAGGTCACGGGTTCGAGCCGTGGAAACCTCCTGTTGCAAAAATGCAAAGGCTGCGTATAATAGACCCTTATGGTCTAGGTCCTTTGATAACAATCAAATCATTCTTTTGAAGTTGGATTTTCTTTTGTGTGCGTGGGTGGGT